CTCTTGATGCACCACCTCTGTAAATAATATAAATTTGTATATCACTATACCAGGAGAATATATACAAAAATAATATGTACAATGGTATGAGGAGGCATTATCTTTACCTCTGCTCCTTGCCCTGTCAACCCCAATGGGGGAGGGCTCTTTGTATCAGAATCTGTGAATGAACATATTTCCATTTAGTCAGAGCGAATGACACTACAACAAGATGTTCAAGTATGAAATAACTAAACATAAAAATAATAAATACAACAATGATAAAACCGCATAACTGGCATTTACTAAAGAAACAGTAGGATTTGAGCGCTGTGTTACTTAGCAGATCAAAGCAAGTTTCCGCGCCTTTCCCTCCTCTCAAGTTAGCATATTCTAGGCAATTTAGCAAGTTCTTACCTTCGACTCTTTGTGGAGCTTCTGGAGAGGATGCTCTGCTGGATTGAGACTGCAACCACTCATCCGATAAATCATGATCAGGTTCGCTGAACGAATCCGAGGCATCAGTAACAGCAGCAGCTGATACGCTGCGAGAGGCGGAAGGTGTGTCCCTGCTCCGGGCTCTTGCTCCGCGCAAATGTGGCTGCAGAGACGGACCTCCACCGGGGTCTCCACTCTCTCCCCTCTCGACCTCACTCACCTGATCCGCGAGTCAATCTCTGAAGCAGTGTCAACTGCTTATAACTATTCTTTTTCGCCATCACTCATTGCTATACTATCGCTAAACTAGATCGCTAATCTGTCTCAATGCTACGCTATCATCGCTCGCTCTGCTACAGCAGCACGCTCTCCAAACACTCCTCCTCACTCCTCCTCCTCCTTCTCTCACTGACTGATGACCTCTCCTGTGGCACAATACTGCATCCTACTGGTGTTGATTTATCATTACAGGTACATTTGCACTATATATCAGTATTGTGGGTCATTCACAAGGTGCGCCAGGTGCGCCCTCCCGTGTAATAACAGCGAAAAACTCGTCAAAACTCGTCATGGGCAGTGAGCGTTACTATTCAATATAGCCGAGTTTTGTCCATGGGCAGTGAATGAGTTAATCTCAAAATGTTATGAGATTAATCTCAAAATGTTTTGAGATTAAGCTCAAAATGTTATGGGATTAATTTTAAAATATATTATGTATACTTTTAAAATGAATCTCAAAATGTTGTGAGATTAATCTCAAAATATTTTGGACCCTGAGGAGATCCAGCGCGGATCAGCGCTGAGACCACTGCAGACCCGAGGTGGGACTTGAGTGACCAGCACACAGAAACCAGCGCGGGACCGGAGGAGAGGCCGTAGACTCGAGAGACCTGACTGGAGAGATCGGTGCACAGAGACCAGTGCGGACCGAAGAGAGACCGCATAGACTGGAGAGACCGGCGCCCAGGAGACCAGCGCGGACCGAGGAGAGGCCGTAGACTGAAGACTGGAGAGACCGGTGCGCAGAGACCAGCGCGGACTGAAGAGAGACCGCATAGACCATAGACTGGACAGACCAGCGCGGTCCTGTAATAGATCGATGGGAGAGACCAGCGAGGGAGGACCCGTATGAATCCAGGAGCATGCAGCACGGACCCGTATGGATCCAGGAGCATGCAGCACGGACGGACCGTATGGATCCATGGAGAGAGGGAGACCAGTGCAGACCCGTATAGATCCATGGGATAGACCAGTGCAGACCCGTATAGATCCATGGGAGAGACCAGTGCAGACCCGTATAGATCCATGGGAGAGACCAGTGCAGACCCGTATAGATCCATGGGCGAGACCAGTGCAGACCCGTATAGATCCATGGGAAAGACCAGTGCAGAGACTCAGCGCGGACCCCGCAGCCTCCTGCAGCAGCAGTATATATGCCATTGTTCTGTGGCCCGTGGATGGAGAAATGCCCCCTATAAATAGGATGGGGTCACTAATATACGGCAAGATTTCCAATGTATTTGATAAAGCGTTGGCACATTTCATTTCACAATGAATTAAAAAATAGGCTAAATTACCATTAACAATTAAATAAATAAATACATACATAAATATGGCGGATATATCACTGTAATGTTGTGTTTTATTGAACTTCTTAACACCAGCGTGCAAACATGTCGGCACTGAATGTGCGTACGAGTGCTCCTGAGGACTCGTAGGATTTGTACTTACCCAAGAGAAATTCTGGTTACGAGAACATTTCATGAATGCCACAATCTTCGTAAAATCTTCGTAAGTAGGATTTACGCACAGATTTGTTCTTAAGTACGGTTCGTGAATGAGGCCCATTGTGACAATATCATTATCGGGAGTTGGGAAACAAATATTGAGAATATAGCCCATATCGCCCACCCCTAGTTCGAAGATGATGCTCCTCCTGTTAGTGTTTACATGTTTATTTAACTCATGGGGCCAATTTGGAGGTCTTTTAATTTTTTCATTGTTATGGGCCTGTTATAGCTTTGTAAAGCAATTTAAAAGACAAATATATACTCTGTATTCGTGTCTCATGGCTTATTATTGATAGACGAAAACGTTAGTCATCCTTGTGTTTTTTTCTCACAAAAACTCTTAACTGTTAGTAACTGACTAATAAGTCAGGCACTGCAGTATTAATATATGAATAATTGTCACACTAAAGGGCCTTTAACAAATGTGTAGTAAAGTGTAAATACTTTACACAAGGCACAAAAACTCTTAACTGTTAGTAACTGAATACATCATGCACTGCAGTATTAGTTCATAATCGTGTATATAATTATTAATCATTAACATGTGGTTTAATCATGGTAAAACAAACATCTATATATGTAGGAACAAATGGTTACTTCATTAAATTATTAAATAATCATGAACAAGTGAATTACGCATTTATTAACTGTAGTTAAGTGTTGGTCACACTTTTTTTTAATGACCAACATTTAGGCTTAATTTATTAAGCCTAAATAAGGTGTAGTTATTATAAAGTGTTACCTAATTTTCTTTGTGTGAGTGTTATTGGGTTTTTTATTTGGGGAAAACATTATCTTTTTGTATATTTGGAATTTTGCTGTTGGAAAATGTTAAATAAAACATATATACACATATACATATACAGTGACGTGCGGTGAGGTTGGTGATTGGTGAGGCACTGACTTCACCCAATCAGATAAACATACTGTATATCATATAAATCAACAGGACCTACAGAGCGGCTATTTCACAATTTGTTTAGCTACAGCATAATATGTTTCATGTCCGCATTGTTTTGTCATACCAAACACAAAAGTTTGTAAAAAACACATTTAAAAGTGCGTTATGGGCCTTACCTTACTGTAAACATGAACTGCACAGACCACTTCAGTTAGACCAGTTTCATGTTTAAATCCAGATAATAGTTTGAGCGTAAATATGTAATCCTCCATTTAGAAATAAGTCCAATGAGTTTTAAAAAGTAAAACAAAACGGGTGTCTCCTCCGTAAACTCTCTCATGTTTCGCTAGCTGCAGCCGCCTCTCGGGTGCATCTGATTTCTAAAATCAACCTTCTTTCCCTTCACCTCTCTTCCTTGTCATTCCTATCGTCATTGGAAGCATCACATTACCCTAAGTAAATTTTAAATAATCTTACAATGTGTTACATGTATTTTAGCCAAACCTGCTGCACTTAGCAGAGGAAGAACAAGAAAGAAGCTTTCTGATGGAATTGGATGCAGCCAAATTCTGGGCTCACATGCGCCCCCTACCCTGAGGCTGGCCTCATTTGGTGACATTACAAGCCGTGGTTGAGCGCGATTAAGACCCATATTTGTTGTCTAAAGTTGAGAGGATGGGTCATAAATTGTGTTTTTTGACATGTAGATTGCAAAGGAAATATGTTTGAACTTTGTAAACCGCGATAAATAGAGAAAACAGTTCGATAACGCCGCATGGGCTCCTGCCTCTAAGAATTACAGGCATTTATGTCTCCCAAGTGAGGCTCGCCTCACAGCGCACCGCTCTGTCAAATATGAGAAAATATGACAAAAATCTGCTAGGTAAGGTAAGAATTAATGAAATAAGGAAAAGTTACATGAAAATAATACAATGACATAAATTACCTGATATAGTCCCCAAGTATTATTGTTTCCATTTTATTTTTTCTTTCCATGATCGTAGGTGAGGCTGGGCCTCACCTGCCTCACTGTAAACATTTACATACACATACATATAAAGTTCACACCCGGTCTCATGAAGCAACGCTGGGTACTGTTATGCTCGGCCCTTTGGCGATATTTTTGTAGGCATATGCGAAGGATTTCTGTCACACATGTCGCCGCTGTATGCATTCATCTGAAACCGGATGTGCAGCCATGGGGACCGAAAGATTAGCGGAACTCTCCTATATTTTGGCATTGTCTGGTCCTCCTGCTTCTGGGCAGTGGAGGTTATTCCCATGATGTGTTGCGCCAAATACACTTGTGTGGTTCTCCTACATGTGCACAGAGGGGCTCAGCTGCGCTCTGACCAATCAGCGGCCTGTGATCCGAGCGTCGGAGTTCGGGCGGGAGTCAAACGAGCAGAGTATGTTGCATGAATGTGTGGATTTGTAGAAAAAAGTTCAGGATGACAAGGGACACTAATCCTCCTTTAAGAAAGCTGTAGGTTCTTTGTCAGCTGAGGTCAAGCTGTTTTAGTTTACATTGAGTTCTATGGGACATTTTTCTGAGTAGCCCACGTGAATTCAGTCTGCAGGCGCCCCCTGTGCCCATTGGTGGTATAAGCTAGCCTACCCTATCCAGATATAATAGATCAATGTATGGCGCTGGCCATCCACAACAACAACAAGGGCTAAAACAGCCACATACTACTTATCTGTTTCTGTCAAGTTGCGGAAAAGTAGCTGCGTTTAGAAGAACTTGCAAGGTCGCACTGATTTTGCGGAGTTTGATTTTGCATTAATAGTTGCAATCGCAACATTGCAAAATTCTGGATGGACTGGTAGATGGGTCATAATAGAAGCAGTAAAAGTAGTAGCAGTAATGGCAGTAGCAGTAGTTTTCTTACCTGCAGCTGTGCACCACCACTATGAGCCGGTTCCTCTGAGAGCTGTGTCTCAGTGTGAGCTGGATTTCCCCAAGAGGAAAGTGAGCGGAGCCACTGGAACAGAGGACACAAGTATTTATACTACCCCATAAAGTCTCCAATCTGCTGTTACATCACATTCAGTTGTGCTGCTCTTAAACCTGAGGTATGTAACTTTCACTGGAACTCTGTAATAAATTGGGGCGGCATGGTGGCTAAGTGGATAGCACTCTCGATTCTCAGCAAGTAGGTCTTGGGTTTGAATCCCGGTCAGAAGATTAAAAAGAATTCCACAACATAGCAACAGACAACTGTGAAAGAACATAATTATTCATTTCTCTAAAGTCAATAAGTGAAGCTCAGTTACCGTACTTCTCTAATGGTGAAGCTGGATGACGCTTTTCGAACGGAAGCGCCAGTTAGACCCACCCCCAGCTTCCTGACAGAACGCAATTAATTCAAATCCTTGATAGACAGCTGAGGCTCCTCCCCATGGGTCTAACTATACTTCATACTTCATTTACAGGGTCAAAAGTTACAGAAATTACCTTTAAAGCATTTGTTAATGTCCTATGTAACATTGTGACGTTTTTCTTGTAGTTGGGGCATTGTCCTATTGAAGCGTCAAGTTTTCAGAGGATAATATAATATCATTTGTGTTGCTGTTGGGGGTTAGGGTTAGTCGGAGGACTTAATCGTTTGAATTTCCGTTTCAGAGTGATGTTGATAATCCAAACAATAAAGATAAAATAACAACTGGAATGTACTATGTGATGAAATATTAAGTGGGCCTCAAAACTAACAAATGAAACTACAATAAACATGTGAGCGTGCTAAAAACGTTTTGCGACTTCAGTTAAGCACCGCCCACACCAGTGAGGAAGGCCATCAAACTATTAATGCTTGATTTCTCACATGTTTTGTAGAAAGAAGTGTCAATGAGTCCCTGCAGGTTTCTTTTCAGTCATACGTGCAGTCCGACAGGATTTTTTGGGCCGGAATCTCCTTTCAGATTGAATTGTCATGCATATTTGTTATCCACAAGTTTTTATTTAAAAACCGTCATAAGGTCTCTTAAAGTGACTTTTTGTACAGTCTGACAGCAGAGTGGATAAGGACCTGGGTAGCGCTCCTTCCTACACTGAGGGTTAGGTGCCTCAGTATTCCCACTGAAGGAGTCCTCAGCTCGCTACAGTACTGTGGCAGGTGGGTGAGGAGGTGTTATTCATGATGGAGGTAGCTTTGACTAGCACCCTCATGTCCCTCACCTCACCACAGAGTTCCAAAAGGGCAGCCCCGGAGTTGTGCTGCCCTACTGACTTCCCAACAACTTATTCTTCGTATTGAGAATGAGGAGTCACGTGCCGAGTTGGCGGTGCATTTGGGGGGGACTCGGAGCCTGTCGGACATATTGGCCTGCGCAACGGGGGCACGCCCCAGAATTTCACGCGCTCCTCATATTCCACGAGCACTTTAAAACTTATATCGCCATTTACGTTTCGGCGAGACAGAGACGGATCTACTGTTACAACAAGGAAAGGAAGACAGTAAAACAGGTGCTTAGAGATAAGGCGAAAGAGAAGGGGGACCGTCAGGGAACAAGTCATACCAAGCGCAAAAACCAGAGTGTATTTGGAGGAAGGCTTGTTAATAAACCTATGGTGACACGCCATGGTTTTGCCCCTTGTTGTGCAGAATAGGTTTTTCCTATTTCTTAAAATTGTATTATTGGGATTGCTGTGTGCCTTTGCAGTGTTTTTTTGTACATTTGCACTAATACAGTCTTTATGTGTTATTCTTTTATTTATGTGTGTGCATGTTTACATGCTGGAAACAGTACTTTGAATGCACACGTTGTTTTGCAGTGTTTTGTGTCCCTTTGCACTAAGAAAAGTATGACTCTTATGATCATTTTTGCCTATGCTGTGCATGTTTACATGCTGGAAACAGACTTTGAATGCACACGTTGTTTTGCAGTGTTTTGTGTCCCTTTGCACTAAAAAAAGTATGACTCTTATGATCATTTTTGCCTATGCTGTGCATGTTTACATGCTGGAAACAGTACTTTGAATGCACACGTTGTTTAGCAGTGTTTTGTGTCCCTTTGCACTAAGAAAAGTATGACTCTTAATTATCATTTTTACCTATGTTGGGCATGTTTACATGCTGGAAACAGTACTTTGACTGCACACGTTTGTAACAAAAAAAAGATTCATTTCTCAATAAATATTGGTAAACCATATCAAGTTGTTTCATGCATTTATTTAAAAATAAAAGATACAGTAAAGAATAAGGTACTCAAACAACACTTTTGCACATGTTCGTTAAGGCACAGCAAACAATGACAATCTTATCCAAAGGCATTAGGTTTTCACCCTCACATTTGACAAGCATGTGCACAGGTACAGTTGAGTGTAAGAATTTGAATTTGTTGCGCACAACACCGATCACCCTCTCCACGTGAATTCTGAGATGTGCTATGGCCCTAGTCTCCTCCACATCTTTCGCCTCCAGCTGTGCACGACCCCTGGTGAATGTAGGTATTTTCACTTCAGCACACATCATGCCCACATGTTCTCTTATATTAAAGCCTCTATCTGCCAGCACAATGTCACCTGGTAACAGCTTGTTCAGGAAACCACTTTGCTCGGTTATATGCTTGTCGCTTGTGCGCCCACCCCACCCGTTCGATATGAAGGAAATTACACCCTGGGGCGTGATCACGATTAGGTATTTCATAGTGTATGCGTGTTTGTATTGAGAAAAAGTCTGTGCCCTTGCTAGTACATTGGAAGGTTTCTCGATGAACACCTCGAAGCAGTCCACAATGGCAGCCACATTGTTCCCAAATGACTCTACAAACTGGTGTGGCATACTGGTCAATAAGCATTCCCTACTTGGCCAGTGCACCAATGGACACAGCTGTGCGTACATCACACCAAGGGTATGGTGAAAGGCATCGGCGACTGTTGTCCTATGTACTCTAAACAGATGGCTGAGGTGCTGTATTGGAAGGTCCAGTCTGAGGCGCATTAAAGTCAATAGGACAAGCTGGAAGGGTGAGAGCTTCTTCATTCTACCTTGAGGCAGATCTGGAGTTAGGTAGAGTAGAAGTGTCTGGAACAATGCAAAGTTTGGAAGCCCCGTGTAATACTTCACTGTGTTATCATCACCACTCAGAAAGTTCTCATTCATCCGGTACGTATCAAGCTCACGCTTCAGCTGTCTGTTTTCTTCAAGAAGATTGTTGATAACATCTCGTCTAGATGTGCAGAGTCCACATTCCATGTCCGGGTCAGCTGGCGGCTGGTCTAGGGCTGGCGGCGGCGGCGCCTGCGGCTGGTCTAGGGCTGGTGGCGGCGGCGCCTGCGGCTGGTCTAGGGCTGGTGGCGGCGGCGCCTGCGGCTGGTCTAGGGCTGGTGGCGGCGGCGCCTGCGGCTGGTCTAGGGCTGGTGGCGGCGGCGCCTGCGGCTGGTCTAGGGCTGGTGGCGGCTGCAGCTGGTCTAGGGCTGGTGGCGGCTGCAGCTGGTCTAGGGCTGGAGGCGGCGGCGCCTGCGGCTGGTGTTGGGCTGGAGGTGGCTGCCGCTCCAGTGGCAGGGACCTGCGCCTTACTTGCCGCTGATATCTCGCTTCATCTGTTTTTTGTACATCATTGTGGCCTAACAACAGGGATGGTGTCCAGTCAGGGTGGTTCTCCAACATCTCATATGCTGGTTTACCTACACGAGAATAATAACAACATATAATTAATATAATAATTTGCACAATCTATGTAATCAATGCTTTAAACTGACAACTATGTCATGAACAGCATCTCAAGTACTTTTTAGGTCACCTCATAATGTCATATGAAGGTTTATGTACAACAGAATAATTAGATTATGTGTACAATCTATGTAATCTATGCTTTACACTGGCAAAGACCTCGCAGAACACGTGCTAAGTAAGAAACAGCCTGAGAGGGTAACAAAGACACAGAGACAAAGGCACTACAGAAACCATAATAACATATGCCAACCTACACTTCCTAGCTTTAAGAGACAACTACATAAATACATTTTTAGAGAACGTACCAGAGTGAAAATGCAGAGAACACACTCTCGTCGACAGGGGTGTGTGATCGAAAGTAAGGTCCTTTCTTCTAATTGCAGCCAACCAAGCAATCCGACGTCTCCTTGTCAGGTCAGAGAATTGCTCCCCTTGATGCTTTTTCCATTTCGGTAACCTAAAAAACTGTATCCCGTTGTTACTAGGTTTTCCATATCCATCGTGGGAGGTATTGGAGCAGTTTTTAACGCAGCAGTTATTTCCAGGCATGATAAAACAGTGCGGAATAGCAAGAACCTCCGCTACTACCGCGTTCACAACACACGTAAACAAACTGTACTGCCGCCACCGGTGCGCAGCCAATATGTCGGCAAAGGGGGGATGGGGAGGGGGGACTCTGTGCCGTGACGTCAACTCCTCATTCTCAATTGACAGCGCTGATTTGCTGGTTCAGTCTCTCCCCGCTGTCAATCACCTCTTGGAGGCGGGCTTTTGACGTTACAGATTAGGGCTTTGACTTCAAAATTCGATATTCAAATATAATTTCGAATATCAAATATATATATATATATATATATATTAAAATATATATATATTTTCGAACAAATATTAGGCAGCCCTTAATATTCTAAATGTATTTAATGACTGTAAATAAAATAGTTAGCTCCCAAAGGGGTCGCTGTGACATGGCTAGGCGGATAACAGCTAAGCTAGCTAGTTCAAAAACTCTCTCAAACTACATGAAAACTGAACAACAAAGAATTCTGAGCATCAGCGGTGAGTGACCCATTTATACCGAACCTAAATCCATAATCAGATCCTCTTCAAATGTGTCCTAAAATGTTTGTTTCATGTTAATGATTTTGCGCTAGAGGAAGTAGCCGCAGGTTAGCCTCTCTGCACAGACCATGGATCTATAACACAGACAGGCTCCTGCTGAAAGCCTGTTGTACTTGCTGAATAATGTTAGGAGCTGTTTAATAAATGAAATATTTAAATATATTCGAATATTTAAAATACTAAACAAACAAATTTTGAATGATTTTTGTACAAAAGTCAAAGACCTATTACAGATTGGTGCAGTCACGATTTAAATTCACTCATTTCTGTTTTTCTCGAGGAAATCAATGAAAAAAACTACTCTGGGCATGAAGGCCAAACAGCTGTAATCATGTTTAAACAAGAGAAAAGTCAGAAAGGTGGTATATAAATAAAGATTACTTACTTACTTCATTGGAATAAAACTACACTTTTTATCACATGGATTTATACATAATTCTCCATGTTTCAATGAGACAAAACAACATTTCTCATTTATATAAACTACAGATTGTGTGAATCCAAATTCACACAAAATGGTTGTGTGTTTTTAAAGTCTGAGGTGTAATGACCACTGCGCTGACGACCTGGATGTTCTGAACATAGACATATAAAGAGCAGACGCCGCATTGGCCGCTCGAGAACGAGAAATGCGGCCGCCATCTTGGACCGGTCCTCCTACAGCGCGATGCCTGAGCACTGTGCGGGGTATTGCTGTCAAAATAGGTGGACTATTCAAAACAGGGCTCGGGGAATACTTTTCACAAGTAAGTTTGACCGTTATTGTTGATAGTAGTTTGTGAATAGATTATTACCGAACTGTATTTATGTCACCAATGAAATCAGATATATATATATATATAGGAGCATTGAAATAGCAAACAGGCTAAGTCACAGTTTCAGCAGCTTTGGTTCACTGTCAAAATACCAGTTTTGTTCTTAATTTTTCAACTCAGTAAAAAGATTGAGTTTAGTACTTTTACTGCCACTAACTGCTTAGTGTATACACATGGCTCTATCATTTAATCGTGTATATGGGCTCTATCATATTATAGTGTATGAGCTTTACCATATTTAATGTATATACTGTATTCAGTGTTTCCGCCAGGAATTTGTTTGAGGGGGGGACCACGTTTATTGCAGTAATTTTTGTTAATATTTTTCACGAGGAGTTAGTGGACATGTGTGCCTTTAATATGAGCGGCCTTTGTGGGAATGGTTATATTCAAAGTATTAGAGTAAAATGAGTTTGTAAAACACCTGCGGCTCAGCGACACGAAGCAGGAGCCGTAGTTCTGAGCGGAGCCAGAGCAGAGCCAGAGGTCTCCAGAGATCAGAGAAGTGTTTGGTACTGGCTCACTCAGATTCAGAGGAGGAAGACACGCAGGTGTCCAGTGAAGCAGATACAGACATTATTAGTGACAGGAGTCCGCGCCATATTAGTCCAGTCAGCCACAGTTTACGTCCTCCGTGTGGCCCCGTGGTAAAGAGGCCCGGCTTTTCGGAGTCAGCGGTAAAGCGGTCCGCACATTAAAAGCGGATAGCCGCTTTATGCTGTTAATTACAGTAACATTGGAAAGAAGCCGCGGGGATGAGCCGCCACAATGCACTTTTTAACATAAAGCGGCCACCCGCTTTTAACGTGCAGACCTCTTTACCGCTGACTCCGAAAAGCCGGACCTCTTTCCGCGGTGTGTGGCCGCAATGGAAACATTCTGCGAACACCAGGCAGGGGACGTGGTGAAGGGGACAGGGGGGTCATAACACCGGGCATGTGGGTGAATGCAGCGGGGATAAACAACCGCGGGGAACGCGGCAGAAGCCGCGGAAGAAAACACGCCGCTAATCTGCCTTTACGGACGGAGATGATGATGATGAAGGCAGAGAGGAAGAAAATCCATAAAAGTGGATCAGAAGTGTTGAAGATCCTGTTGTTTATTGTTGAGACAATCTGACAAGTTCTGAGCCCATTCATTTAATCGCTCTGTTTCTAAACGATGAATTCTGGAGCCTCATTTCCACTGAGAGAAACTGTATGCCACCAGGTCTTTTGAAAGGGTAATATTGAAACCAAAGTGCAGATTTCATGACTGGTAAACTATAAGCAGTGCCATCTTGATCATTGAAGGTCTAATACATAATACAATTCCATATGGCTGCTGACCAGTGCTAAAATATTCTATATAAATTGGATCAGTGAATTTATTCCTATCCCACATTGTGTTACATACTGAAGATAATTCACGTTGACTGTTGACAGTATTCCCAGAGCTCAAAATACACTCTCAAATTACAGCTTTTTGAAATCTTTGTACAATAATTAACATTTTCCAAAATGGCCACCACCTTGATGACGTCACAATATGCAAAGTAGATGACGAATCAACTTCCATCCCAAAGTTTGGTTCATACTGAAGATATTTCTCATTTACAAAATGCCTTTATCTCAAACTTTAAAGTTATAGCCTTTTGAAATCTTGAAATCAAAATTGTAATTTTTTTTTGAAAAAAATGGGCTTAGTGCTGTGTGAAAATCTCGTCAAAGGCCTGGGCTCCGCCCCGTGCTCCTCTTTGCTGTCATCGTTGCAACATGTCCAGGAGTTCAACTTTTTAGCACTAACCATGTTGTGGGTTTAGTCCACGGTTTTGTCAAGGAGAAAATTAGCATACAACACTTACAGTCACACTGCAATCAGACTGTGAATGCTGTGATACAGGAAACACGGCACAGAGATTACCCCTTAGCCAATCAGGACGCAGAACACAATACACTGGTTCTTCCTTAGCCAATCAGGATGAACACACCAAGTTCATATACAGTGAAAATCACGCTTAAAACTAAATCTGCAAGACCTCAAAAAAGAGAACCGCTATTCAGCTGATGAGACTCCTATTCAGAACACATTATTCCTGTATGGAAGTTTCTGATTTGGTGTTTTTATGTAATTTTTTTACTATCATCATGTTTTAGATTATAGATTAGACAGTGAGCCAGATCAGATGTATCCCAATGAAAATAATGTTATTGCACTTTTTGATGTGAGAATTGTATACATGCATGTCTAACAAAATTGAGGGGGATATATCCCCCCCTAGGGCCATGGCTAGGGGGGACTGATCCCAAATTCAGAAATCCAATTGTTCCAAATGATTTCCATGCAAAAGAGGACGATGGTATTGTCCATGTCTCAGCAGCTCACAGCAGGCCTGAGTGGAGTCAGGGGCTGTGCAGATTGTCCAAGTGTGCTGATCCAGATGCATTCTCTTGAGGTTTCTCAGTTTTGGCTAAAAAAAAAAACACTTTTTGTGTAAAAAAAAGTAGTCTTCTGTTCTCTAGATGTTACAGACAAGGCCCGCATCCTTCCACCACCTGAAGAAGATGAGCCAAGTCTGGGATCGCGTCTTAAATTCAGACAGAAGACATGTTTTATTGTCGATGGTAGAGACAGCACGAACAACTGATACAACAGAATGCAAGTGTATTATACAGAGCGGAGGCATGGAGACCTCCAATCAGCAGCTTTCACAGTGCCATGAATTTTCTAGTTTGAGTCCGTTCTTCACAGTGTCTCTATGCGTGTTGTTCAAAGGCATCCCGATATAAATCCTCGTTTTAGTCTTTGTTTTGTCATTAATGATTTGAGAGTCATAACAAGACCTTTTTTAGTTCTGCGCCACATGTTATTTTACCACTGAGATTAATGAGCCGCGCTGAGTTCTGGCAACCCGATCACGGACTTACATGACACTTCCTGATTGGCAAAACGGCGGAGGGTAGGACATCAAAATCAAAACAATAACAACTTTTACGGGTCGTAAAACTAATTTTGATAATCAAATATCTCGGCTGAACTACTGTTATCAGTTAAAGATGAATTCGAAAAGAGTATGATTTAATAACGCCTTTTGAAATATTCGGGTCATTTAATGATGACTTGACATGCAAATATTACATATTGCTCCTTTAAAGCTAGAGATGCGCTGATTATATTCATGGATGAGTCTTAGGGTGTATTCAGACCTGCACATTTGCTCCACTTTAAACGGACCAGGATTCGTTTGGAACTCTGATCCGAATCTTTTATGCAGGTCTGAATACACACAAACGAATCCTGGTCCGGACCAAAGAACCGAACCGAGACCCACTTTTTGAGGTGGTCTCGGTCCGCTTCCAAACGAATTCTGGTCCAAGTCGAATCAGGTCTGAATACATCCGGTGTCGATCCGACACAACTCCAAGATACGTGCGCATTTTTTGGGCTTAACAAGCACCGCAGACAGAAACTGGGGAATTAGCCACGCAGCGGCTAACTATGCTGCTAACTCTGCTGCTAACTATGCTGCTAACGCTACACAACAACACTGAGCCGTGTGCAGACCTGGAGCAGTGAGGAGACGCTGTGCAACAGGCTTATGGAGTTACAACTGTTCACAGTTTACAGTGATGTTAATGGCAGCATCTTTAAATACTTTGCATTATTAAAAACCTGACACTGTTTGACTCACGTCTCAAAAAGAAATATCCCGCATCATGTAGTGAATTGTGTTCTTTGGTTCCTACCTGATCCTCAGCGTCTGTTTGTCCCGTGGTTATTATAGATCCATGGTTTATCCACAATGCTGAACAGGGCCGTTATTATCATAGATCCATGTGTGGGACAGGGCACGGAGCGCAGACAGTCTCCTTCGGCTTTCTCCTCACGCATTCTCCGACGCTGTTCCAATATTTAAAACAACGTGTTTGGCCTGTGTCATATGAGCTGCTGCTGTTGATGTTGAAGGTGGTTTTGCTCTAAAAAGAGCAAACATAGGCAGAGCAGACATGCTGCACATACGAGCCCTCAATGTTTTCTGCCGGTTCCGCGTCTATCCTCCGTGAGCTCTCTCTGTCCAATAGGAGCCGATCGTCACACGTGTCGATATGTTTAGATAAAAAAGTTCACTTGCAAAAAGGACAGTCTGAATACAAACCGGAGCAAAAGAAAAAAGTTTGGTCTGCTTTTGATTCGGATCAAGCAAGCGGAGCAAAGGACTTTTCAGGTCTGAATACACCCTAAGTCTGTAGAGTTCTTAGCTTTGTGTAAACAGCAGGTTTGTCCTTCGCACACCTATCTCTCTCTCTCTGTCTCTCTGTCTCTCTCTCTCTCTCTCTCTCTCTCAGGTGAGTGTAGCGCAGACCGGTGCACGTGGAGCTTGATAAACATGTAAACTTTAAATACAATTGGAATTCAACTCCACAATCAGCACCAACCAAACTGCAGGAATAAAAATGCCAATTTTACAACATGACATTTCCTTTTGACAAGGAAAGAAGATAACAAGCTGATAACGTTACGTAATTGCTCACAAGCAACCAAAAGGTGTTCAACCTAAACTGCCTCAGACAAGAATCGAACCCGGATCCCCCTGGTTCTAACCTGCAACTCTAACCATTCGGCCATCATAGTATCACTAGGCAAAACAGGTTTGCACGCAGTCTTATACCTGAGCGTTTAAGTCGCTGGCAGAGCTAAAGCGGACTTAACCTGCCACCTAGTGGCGATAGGATGTAATATGTTTCACGCAGCTGCGTGATTCATGAAAAGCGTGAGTGAAGACGACAAAACGAAATGGGACCTACTGTATGATATATAATATATAATCAGGTTTGCCTGGATTGGTTTGCACACCTGGTGTGCAATCCATGAATCTTGGTGCTGTAACCTAGACTAGCCTAGCCGTAGCTGCTGTCTCACCTCCTTTCAGATACGCTCTCTTTATTCAAGGCTAGGTTTAAAACAGTCCTCTTTAGTTTAGCATATGGCTACGAAGGTAAGACTCAGGGAAGACAAAACTCCTCAGACTGTCAGTCAAGCTGCATAGGGAGCAGTGTTGGGCACGTTACTTTGAAAAAGTAATTAGTTATAGTTACTAGTTACTTCTCCCAAAAAGTAACTGAGTTACTAACGGAGTTACTCCACAATAAAAGTAACTAGTTACCAGTAAAAGTAACTATTGCGTTACTTTTTTGTTTTGTTCTGGAACATAATGTGCACTCGACGTGTGCATTTTTACCTTTAACCTCAGTGAGTCTGAAGTAGTGCCAATATTTCCATCTAAAACAGACTGTTTTGCTGCTGAAGTCCTGTTCACTCTTCATATCTCTCTGTACTGTAAGCACTAAACACAAACACCCGCCACTGTGAATGTGGAAACACCAGTGAAGCACCGACTTCAGCCCAATCAAATGAACATATATATCATATAAATCAACTGGACAATTTGTTTGGCTACAGCAAAATATGTTTCATGCCCGCATTGTTTGTTCATACAAAACGCAAAACTATGAGTTATGGGTCTTACCTTATAAATGACCTGCACAGGCCACTTCGGTACAGACCAGTTCCGTGTTTAAGTCCAGATAATAGTTTGAGCGTAGATATGTAATCCTCCATTTGGAAATGAGTCCAATGAGTTTTAAAAAGTAAAACAATACGCGTGTGTCCTCCATAAACTCCTCTGTTTTGCTAGCTGCAGCCGGGTGCATCCAATTTCTAAAATCAACCGTCTGACACTTCACCTCTCTTTCTTATCATTCCTATAGTCATTGAAAAATTACCCTAAGTGCATTTTAAATTATCTTAAAATGTGTTATATGTATGTTAGCCAAACCTGTTGCTGTCCTTCGCAGATAAACCAGGAAGAGAAAGGAGCTTATCGATGAAATTGTATGCAGCCGACTTCTACGCTCAAATGCGCTCCTCAGAGGCTGGCCTCACGGTGATACAAGCCGTGGTTGAGCGCGATTAAGACCCATATTTGTTTCAAAAACACAATTTATGAGCCATCCTCTCAACTGTAGACATGTAGATTGTAAAGGAAATATGTTTTACATCAGCCAATAATTGCTGAGAGGTTTTCTCATCCTGCCTTCTCTCATGACAACACGCGCACGAGTCCTATCACGAAGTAAACAGAGAAGTTCATTGTGCGTCTTGAGTAACGCGCAGTAACGGGATGTCGGAAATGATAACGGCGTTATAGTTTCAGTCAAAGTAATTAGTTAATTACTCGTTACTGAAAAAAGTACTAGTAACGCCGTTATTCCCATCACTGATAGGGAGTCAGTTTGCTGGGAGAAGTATGGTAACTTGAGCACTATCCTCTCCTCCTTCCTACTTTATCTGTTTAGCATTATTAGGATTTTGACTGAAGTTTGTTCATTGCTATTCACCCGTTGTCCCATTGTCTGTTTCATGGTACGATGACGGGATCTCTGAGCCTGGCCTCCTCCATCTACACCTGCGGACTGCCCCGCCCGACCCGCCTGGGAGTGCTTCAGTCCTGCACCGGACCTGTCCACGTTCAGCGGCCACTGGTCCACGTCCAGAAGCTAGCTTAGGTCCTAGATCATTAGCCTGTCCGTCCGGAGGAGCGGATCCCTTTCTCAAATGGGTCTCCCTCCCTGTGGGTTTCCCTAGTTCTCCCCAAGGTATCTCACTTTTTCCCACTGGGTTTTTTAAGAGTTTTTCCTTGTCGATGCAGGAGGGTCTTGTATGACAATTAGTGTCCAACAGAAAGGATAGGTGATGATCAGGACACTTTAGCATTCTACATGTATGGACATTTTCTTCTGTGTGTGCTTTATATTTTTCATGTGTTTTAACTGTTGATTCTCTGACCTGTGTTGGTGATTTCAATGGTTTTGTTAAGTCCTCTGAGATGACTTCTGTTGTGACCTAGGGCTATACAAGAATAAATTGTATTGTAATGTATTGTATTAGTCCAGTTCTCAGGTCTCTGCACTGGCTTCCTGTGCCTCAGCGAATAGACTTTAAAACAGCTCTGCTTGTGTACAAGTCTCTCCATTGCCTTGCACCAAAATATATTAGTGACATGTTAGTCCCATATGAACCAGCCCAAACTCTGAGGAGCACAGGGACTGGACTCCTGCTGGTGCTCAGAGTCAAGACTAAACATGGGGAGGCTGCATTTCAGATTCATGCTGCTAAAATCTGGAACAATCTTCCTGAAGATGTGAGACAGGCCTCCTCTCTGACAATGTTTAAAACCAGGTTGAAAACAGTTCTGTTTTGCTGTGTGCATACAGCTGAGGGATTTTACGTTTGTATCTATTTTTTTAATGTACTGTGATTATTTATGATTTTAATGCTCTTTTAGCACTTTGAGTTGCCTTGTGTATGAATTGTGCTATACAAATAAACTTGCCTTGCCTTGCCTTGCCTTTGTGTGAGCTAAACGTAGATGGGAAAATGGTGGGCTCCAGCGCTGCTATGGTTGTTTTAGCATCGGGGGTCAGAGATGGCAAGTGGTAGGGCCAAGTGACATAAAATTTAGGAAAATGCTTGTGAATCAATACAATGCTAGACTTACACCCGGCCACTCGCTGCAAAAGTAGTTGAGACGTTATAGATTTTGAAGTTTGCTGTGCTTCCGCTAGCCTGGAGCTAACAATGCTAACGGCTAGTCCTCACTAACAGTAACCAAAAATAATAAAATATGGTATTTATGATGATGAAATGTCACTTTGGCACAAAGTGTGCCAAATTGTTCCGAATGGCACTACTTGATGAAAAAGAGAAACTGCATAAAAATTATAAAAGAGTTACCAACGTGTTACCAACAATACAATGACCCTAGGGTTTGAATATTGTGAGCTTACAATGAAGTATGCATTTTTTAGGGCCTTTAGAAATTGAACCTCTTAACACCCGCCAAAATGAGGCGGGTGTTAAGGGGTGCTTTGGACCTGCTTTGGACCTGGTTCAGACCTGGTTCAGACCTGGCTCAGACCTGGTTCAGGCCTGGTTTAGACCTGCTTTAGACCCGCATTAGACCTGGTTTAAATCTAGTTCTCCTAGTTTTGTCCTGAAGCCACACAGCCGCGCATCCCAATAGACTTTTAGGGTAACCTATACTGTTTGTTTTTGTATTGTGTAAATTGTATTTTTTCATAGACGCACCCGTACATGTGGCTTGTGCCTGTGGTTTGAAAAAGTGTTTATAAAAGTGTCTTTGTAAACACATACAAACACATGCACACACATTTGCACAAACACAAGTACCTGCCACGTTGGCGACGTCAGCGGTGGTCACATTCTGGATGTTTGGACTCACTCTGAAGGTCACCGCAGGTCCAACCACTCTGAGATAGGGTAGGGTAGACATAAGATAAGATAAGATCAGATAAGATAGACTTAATTGATCTCACACAGGAGAAATTTACATGTCACATCTGGCATGGATAGAATCACTCAAGAAGAAAAAAAAATTGTGCAAAGAAGTGTGAAAACTTGTTAAATGCAGGATATATTATGTACAATAAAAGTGGCAATGAAGAAACAGTGGCAATAGTAGTGCAGAGTTTTTTTTTTTTTTCGTCCTAGTGCAAGTGACTTAAAGTGACTTATTGTACAGTCTGACAGCAGTGGGGATAAAGGCCCTGCGGTAGCGCCCCTTCTTGCACTGAGGGTGTCTCAGTCTTCCACTGAGAGAGCTGTTATGGGTGTAACATACGGTACCATGCATGATCAGACTCCACATTGACTTCCATAGACTATTGCCAGAAGCTCCTTTTCGATTTGAGCATATCTCTTTTGTGTTTCAATTAGTGCTCTAGATCCATATGCAACGGGTTGTCCTTCTTGCATTAGTGCAGCTCCTAAGCCTTCTGAGATAGCATCCACAGATAATGTAACTTCTTTAGCCACGTCATAATATCTTATAACTGGTGCTTCACTTACAAGAGTTTTTAATTTTTCAAAGCTCTGTAGTTGCTGTTCTTCCCAGTGCCTTTCAATGTTTTCCTCTAACAGCTTTCAGAGCGGGGCACTTACTTTGGCTAAGTTGGGAATGAACTTCGCCAAGTACAGCACCATGACTAAGAATCTTATCAGCGCAGCGTTGTCCTCTGGCTGTGGCATTTCTGTGATGGCTTGTATTTTACTTGGATCCGGCTTAAGACCATCCTCAGTTAGAATATGTCCAATATATTGTATTTCTGTCAGTACAATTTTGCATTTGTCTTTGTTGAGTTTGAGATTTATGCTTTGCACTCTGTCAAGAAGCTGTCTCAGTCTTTTATCATGTTCTTCTTTGTCTTTTCCCCAAACAAGAATATTATCTATGACGTTTACAACTCCATCCAGATCCTCGAGCCTTTGAGCAATGCACATTTGAAACACCTCTGGTGCTGAGGAGATGCCAAAAGGAAGTCGCTTGAACCTATAACGACCAAATGGCATGTTAAACGTGCACAGCATAGAACTTTCCTCGTCTAACTGTATCTGCCAGAACCCGTGGTTGGCATCCAGGACTGAGAAAATCTTCGCATTGGGCATTTCTGCGACTACTTCCTCTACCGTCCGTAGGGGGTAGTGCTCTCTTTTAATGGCTTTATTGAGGTCTTGGGCATCAATATAAATCCTGAGTTTTTTGTTGGGTTTTTGAACTGTTACCATGCTGTTAAAGTAGCAGTATGTAATATTTGCATGTCATGTCATCATTAAATGGCCCCCATATTTCAAAAGGTATTATTAAATCATGCTCTTTAACTGATAACAGTAGTTCAGCCGAGATATTTGAATATCAAAATTAGTTTTTAGTAAAAGTTATTATTGTTTTCATTTTCAAGTTCTACCCTTCGCCGTTTCGCCAATCAGGAAGTGCGGGGTCCGGATTGCCAGAACTCCGCGTGGCTAATCTCAGTGGTAAAATAACACGTGGCCGCAGAAAAAAGGTCTTGTTATGACTCTCAAATCATTAATGACAAAACAAAGACTAAAACGAGGATTTATATCGGGACGCCTTTGAAAAAATGAGACAGCAGATAATTTTTTGTGAGTTGCAAAACATGCTGCTCTGAGTGCGTTCTTCATGAATGTTTGAATTCCTTGCATCCACGGCAGTATTCATCACGCTCAGGTGGTCTAGTGGTTAGGTCACTGCATTAACAATAAAATAACCTGAATTCAATTCCAGTCAGAGTTTTTTTATATTGAATTGCATAGTATCACATTCTATGACGGATTGCTCTAAACGGTAAAAGACTAAGGTCAAGAAGTTTTTTTTGCAGATTATAGCTTAATTGTAAAAAAACATCATTTGAGACCACATGTACCCCAATTAAAATAATGTTAGTCTCTTTTTGATGTGGGACTCATACATGTATGTATATAAAAAAATAGGGAATACATAAAATTGAATGGTGATATCCTCTGGAGCAGTGTCTCCCAAAGTGGGGCCCCTGGTGGGCCGCGGGGGTACTGCATGAGGTCCGCAAGAGGTCATCAAAAAAAAAAATACAAAAAAAAAACCATATAATTATTGTATGTTAAATTAACAATATTTTGTTTGTAATATTACAATATTTGTGTTCATTATTTGACTTGAATCATCAAATTGTAATCATTTGTGTATTACAAAGTGGGGATGGTCATTTACACATTTGTAGCAGAGGCTATATCCCCCAAATAAAATAACGAGAATCGGGGGGCCTCGCAGACCCGTCAGAATTTTAAGGGGGCCCCGGTGTTACTGACTTTGGGAATGGCTGCTCTGGAGGAAACCCTGATGTGGATACGCTGAAGAAATATGTTCCAACATTCATTCTTCCCACTCCTATTTTGGACATCAATTGCTTATTTATTTTGCATAATCTATAATTACATTGCTTTTATTTTGTTTGTTTTTTTTTTATCTCAAATTTCAAAATAAAATAAAGTTAAAAAAAACATTAGTTCGAAACATTCACTCAACATTAGCACGGCTCAAAACAATGTGAGTGGAGACAGACAAACAACTGATAAAATAATTCTCTGTGTTTGCTGCTGGATTTGGTGTGTATCTGGAGTCAGGGAGAGTGGGAGAGGACTACAAAATATTGACTGTGACTGCAGTACCACTTTTGGCCAGATTTTTACATACTGCTCCTTTAACCCAATCAGTGGGCTCTGTTTGTTTCTCAATCACATCAATGTGCTCCATTATTTCAAGTTCAGTTTTAATCTGAGTTTTCAGCGCTATTGGGACTTTTCGTGGTGGGTGAACGACAGGGGGCACTGCAGCATCAGTTTGAATGTGGTGCAGTCCAGGAACACAGCCTAACCCTGTAAAGACATCTTTATATTCAGTAAAAATGTCTGTATCTCTGATAACATTATATAGTCTTTTAATCAGTCCCATTTGGGCACAAGAGTCACCTCCAAGTATCGTTGGTAAATCAGTTTCTATTATTTGAAACGTATTTCAGCTTTGTATTGGCAGTTCAGTATTGCCTTTCCCAATGGCTCCATCTTGTGGCGAGAATACGTCACCAGCTTGAAATTAGATTTCGGTAGTGCGCTTCTTGGCGCTACTTGATTGAATGTTGACAGTGGTAACACATTGCAATCCGCGCCGGTATCAAGTCTGAAGGTGGGCTTTTGACCATTTTTCAGCACTTCTTTCCACTTTTTGTCATCTTTGCTTGATTGTTGTCTTTGAACTCGTTTGCTGCTTGAACGTATTGCTCCAATGAACAGCTCACTTTCTTCCTGTTCAATCTCATTCACACTTCGGTCTGACTTTCTGCAATAGTCTTTGGGCTTTTTAGATCTGCATACACATGCATAGTGGTTCTTTCGTGAACACAGATTGCACATCTGACCATAGGCTGGGCATTTGCCGTACTCGTGCTTGTAACCACACTTGTTACAGTCTTTGCTAACGCTAGCGGCAGCTTTGGGCTTTCTCGGTAGCTTAGCTTTTGTGACTTTATTGACTGCAATGTCATTTTCTTTGTTGAGTACTTTCATATGACTCTGAGTGGCTTCATTGGCTCTGCAGATGTCTACAGATGTCTACACCGCACAGAATACGATCTTTGACAAGGGATTCAGTGAGAATTCCGAACTCACAATCCTTTGCTTTATTTTTCAGATCCGTAACGTACGCGTCTATGCTTTCGCTTTTAGCTTGACTTCTTGTGAAGAACAGGTGTCTTATATACGTGATGTTTTTCGCGGTTCACAGTACTCACAAAACTTTTCTTTCTAAGTCCTCTATGTCCTCATCTTCTCCCTCAAACTCCATGGTATTATATACCTTGATTGCTTCATCTCCGGCCACGTGCAGAAAGGTGGCACATTGAACCTTTTGAGATTTCTCGGAGAGTCCGCTGGCTATCAGGTATAGCTCAAACTTCTAGACCCAAGAAAGCCAGTTTTCTGCTAGATTTCCTTCTAGACATAGGCTGTTCGGTGGCTTTAGTTGTTCCATGTTTTACTTCTGCCACCATGTAACATACAGTACCATGTAGAGATGGGGATGGTCATAGATTAAATCACAATGGACGTGTGGTGTGGTAGCAGGTAGCACGTTTACTTCACATCTGGCTCTACACACATAACATGTAACATATATCTCAAGTGCTCCTAGCGGACCATATACGTAACTACACTTTACATTACAATGGGACCAGTCCAGTTTATTGTTAATGTGAACACCCGGGCACTTGAAGCTGTCCACCATCTCAATGTGACCCTGGATATTCAGCAGCGTGTGAGGAAGTGGTTTTCTCCTGAAGTTGATTACCATCTCCTTGGTCTTCAAGCACAAGTGGTTGCGCTCACACCAGTCGAAAAGTCCCTGATAACCGAGCGGTATTCCAGTTCGTTCCCCTCAGACCCACAGCCCACGATGGCGGAGACGCGGAGAACTTCTGCAGGTGGCAGCTGTGTGTTGTACTGTATGTGAAGTCTGAAGTGTAGATGGTGAAAAGAAACGACGAGAGGACAGTGCCCTGAGGGGCCCAGTATTGCAGACTACCACCTCAGACTCACAGCTGCGCAGCCGCATGTACTGTGGTCGGTCTGAGAGGTAGTTGATGGTCCATGCAGTGAGGTTACTGTCCACTCCCGCCTCCTCCATCAGCAGCAGTGCCGGTCTGATGGTATTGAAAGCACTGGAGAAGTAAAAAAACATGACCCTCACAGCGCTCCCGGCGTGCTCCAGGTGTCAGAGCGTCCGCTGCAGTCAGTAGATGACGGCGTCCTCTACTCCGATGTTGGGCCTGTAGGCGAACTGCAGCGGGTCCAGGGTGGGGCTGACCACAGAGCGGGGATGGGTGAGGATGAGCCGCTCCATGGTCTTCATCAGCTGGGAGGT